CCACTGAGCCAGCTAGGACTCCTGTAATATCTTTTTTTTTTTTTTTTAAGATTTTATTTATTTTAGAGAGAGACAGCAAGAGCGGGAGGGGCAGAGAGAGAGAGAGAATCTCAAGCAGACTCCACACTGAGCCTGGAACCTGACGTGGGTCTCGACCTCGGGACCCTCTGTTGATCTCCCAGGACTCTGAAATCATGACCTGAGCTGAAACCAGGAGTCAGACGCTTAACCGACTGCGCCACCCAGGCACCCCACCCCTGCAATATCTTAGCTAAGGAAATTAACCATAGCTTTTTGTTTCTTCAGGTTTCCTTCTTCCTACAGGTTTCCTTCTTCCTACATTTTGTTTGCTCCAAGATAGTTTCTTCTGTTGGTTTGTTCTAGTGTCTTTTGTATGAAATGCTTATGGATCCTTACATAGGGATCTTTGACTGGCTATTCAAGTTTAAGAATGGGGCTCTAGGGGCACCTGAGTGGCTCAGATGGTTAAGCGTCTGCTTAGACTCAGGTCACGATCTCCAGGTCCTGGGATCGAGCCCCACATCGGGCTCCCAGTTCAGCAGGGAGTCTGCTTCTCCCTCTTACCTCTGCCTCTCCCCCTGCTTGTACTCTCCATCTCTCTCTCTCTTAAATAAATAAATCTTAAAAAAAAAAAAAAAAAAGGGAAGAAGAAGAATGGGGCTCTAAAAGGTGTGGGAATTCCTGTGGATGTGGGTGGGGTTGGGTGGCTGAGGTCTTTCCAGTGAGGTGCTCCCTGCAGCCAGTTTCATTAGGAGGAAGGACATTTTAGGTAGTTCATCACAGATTCCCTAGGGGTTTCTCCAGTTGTCTGCCTTCTGCCAGGAGGGTCAAAGTCAAGTTGCCAACGTCTGGCAGCACAGGAGGGAAAAGGCGGCTGGTGAAGCCTCTAGAACCAATATGGAAACTTCCCCTTAACCTTCTTTTCTGTAGAGTAGCTGGACTCTTTACTGGCCTGGCCTCCCAGGCTTCTGCAGGGTGATGGACTGGCAGCCGGCTAGCTACATGGGGAGGTGAGCTGGTCTAGTAGTCTCATACTTTAAGTCTTTCAACTGACCCTGTATTTTTAGCCCCATTTCACTTCCCCTTCCCTTCCAGAGGTTCCTGGTGCCAATGCGTCAGCCTTTGGGGGCAGTGGGGTTCTCAGTGCTAATTCAACTATGATCCTTCTGCTCTCCAGCCTCATGAGCTTCTGCCATTAAGAAAATCTCTTTCCTGTCATTTTAGTGGGGCCTCAGGAGCCAATGGACCTAAGTGTGTGACTTCAATGTACTGTGCTTATGTTCAAATTTCTTTAAGTTAAAAAAGCATTAGTTTGAAACCAAACGATCATACCAGTGACCAAGATTTTCTTAAGTTCTGGATCACAAAGCATGTTTTTTTTTTTTTAAGATTTTATTTATTTGAGAGAGCGAGAAAGAGAGAGAGAGCACATGAGAGGGGGGAGGGTCAGAGGGAGAAGCAGACTCCCTGCTGAGCAGGGAGCCCGATGCGGGACTCGATCCCGGGACTCCAGGATCATGACCTGAGCCAAAGGCAGTCGCTTAACCAACTGAGCCACCCAGGCGCCCACAAAGCATCTTTAACATGCATTATCTTCTTTGTGGCAGATGACAACTCCGACATACAAAGATTATCCTTTGTTTTATGGATGAGAAAAATCAGGAAAAAAAAAAAGAGAGGTTCACATACTTTAAAGCAAAAGGACAGCATAAGGCCAAATCTAGACAAATTTTTTTTTTTAAAAATTAGAATTTATTAGAAATATTAAAAATCAGGAGAACTTGCATTAACAAAAAATTTCAGCAGCTCTTGAAAGATTGGAAAATGGGGCGACATGACGCCCACGCACTTCCCGGGGTGACAATCACTTGGAGCTGAATCCCAGCTGCTCCTTTCAGATGGGGCCTGGGCCCCCCCACCACCCAGCTGCTTCATCCAGGCAGCCTCCGTCCCTTGTTACTAGGAGGCATTTGAATTTGAGACCGGAAAGAAAGAAACCACTTTATTTGAAAAGACGATATGGAACTGAATACATATGCAAAAATAAATTGGTAACACAGGCCTCTCCTTTGGGCCCCACCCAGGGTCCACCTCGTCTAGGTTAAATGGTTACCTTGAGACTAGAAACAGGACTAACGGGCACAAATCCATGCGGAGAATATGTATATTTTGTCTCCTTTCCCCCCACACAAGTTGCGTATGCCTTTGGAAACATGTGTTGATTTGTAAATCATGTCCAGTACAGCAGACAAATGTGCTGGGATGAAAGGAAATCACTAAGATAACAACGAGGGCACTTTACCGGGCTTGGTTCCCCCAGTTTGCATTTAATGATGAATTCCCACAGTGCCTAAGGAGAGGGGAGGCGCAGGGATATTCAGATGCCCTGGGGTTGGGATTTTTTTTCCTTCTTACATCCTTTATGGATGTAAGTCTGCTTTAAAAAAAAAAAGAAAAAGAAAAAGCAAGAACAAAACAATAGCAAACCTGAAAGGGACATGACACTCTAGTCTAATTTTAAATTTTTCCCTGGGATCCTCTAAATAACAGCAGCTTTCAAATCCTAGCTGCAGCTAGCTGCTAACCAGCACGGTCACTGTGAGAGTGTGCCTTTCAAAACCTTGGTTTCTCCATCTATGTCAGAAGATATGGGACTATAGCCCAGACTCTGCTGATCTCTTGGACCTCCACCTGCTACTTGCCCTTGAAGATGGTCTCTGATATCTTCCCAATTGGGCTGGAATGTCCTGGGGTTCTTTGTCTTTTGTTTTTGCATGCCCAGAATCTGTGAAAAAAAAGATGCTCTAACCAGCTTTTAGCAGGCACAAAACTAGGTTTTGAAGGTAGCATAAGCTCTCCTACTGGCTCAGAAAGATCTCAGCATCTTGCAGATTATTTGACTCTCACTGGTCCTCAATAAGCATTTGCTTAGCTCTCTATCCAAGCCATCCCAGCCCCCTGGAAGAGAAGCTGGCTGAGTTCAGGCCATGGAGGTGGGTGGGTTGGAACTGGAGGACTGACATTGCCAGTCAATTCAGACAACAAATCATTAAGTGGCTGGAAGACTCAGAGCCACAGATCAGGTGCCGTGACTAGGGTTGGCTCTCCATTTGCTCACACATTTTTCGAGTGCTCACTCTGCCAAGGCACTGTGTTTTTGAGCACTGAAAGCTGAAAAACTGAGATAGCTTTTGCCTTCAGGACATACTGTAGTAACCCTTACTCAAGAATTAGAGTCCGTAAGCTACTGCCTAGGCAGGCTGTTTTTGTAAATAAAGTTTTATTGGAACATCAGCCAAGCTCATTCATTTAAGTACGGTTCCTGGGTGTTTCTTCACTACAACAGCAGGGCTGAGTAGTTACAACAGAGACCCCAGGACCTACAAAGCCTACAATATTTACTATGTGGCCCTTTACCAGAGGTAAGAGATAAGTCACAATCAAACTGCTTCTCGAGTACATTAACCATATGCAATTTAACCATATGCACTGCTTTAAAACACACAAAAAACCTAACGCAAGCCAACTTCTTGACTGGGTAAAGGATTTTTTCTAAGGGTAATTCTGAGCCCGCTTGATTTTTTCCCCTAGTGCACACTCTGAACTTTGGAACCAAAGGTTCAAATGCTGGCACAGGTTCACAATTCCACAGCACTTAACAGTAATGTGTTGAAAGAGCTGTTATAATGGACAGATAAGAATGGTTTGTATGTCACATTCTGCTTTTGTTTTGTTTTGTTTTCATTTTTAAACACAGAAAGGCTGCTTTAGCACTTGGGCTTGATCAAAGCAGTGTGTTTTCTTTGCCTTGACACACCAGGTGAAATCATACTGATATTAACTCTTATTCCTTTTAAAGAGAAAGCTCATTAAATACAGAGCCACAGCCTGGCCCTAGGGAAACTACTGGAATTAATGAGTGTTTATAGTCCTTGCCCTCTCATCCTCAAACATCTTAGATAAATCTCAAGGGGCTGCTGCTGAAATGGTACTGCTGCAATTTACAAGAAAAGCAGCCCAGCTTCAAGCAGCAAATGGCAAGGACAGGGGGTGGGGAACAGAGCCTACATACGAAGGTCAGATCCTAAGAAAACACAGAGGAACACTGTACAAAGATACTTCAGTTACACTATGGATGCTGCCACTGAGATGTGAAGTATATGTCAGCTTGGAGGAAAGGCTCCAAATCCAAATTGCTGTTCTTACATGTAAAAGGTTTGAGGCGCACCCACTTCCACACTAGCTGATGGAGAAGTTAGAGGTAGTAAATGTGTGTATACAAAAAAATTAAACCTGTTTTATAAAGCCCACTGTAGAAAGCATGCTAAAAAAACGGATTTTGGCTGTATTTCAGAAAATCAGTTGCATTCGGGAAGGAAATTAAACTACAAGATTAGCAAACGGTCGGTGTGCAGGCCTTTGCCAACAGCGGAAAGGGGCCTGGGTACCCTGCAATCTCACATCTACAGAAGGATGCCATCATGCTTCCAAATGCTCTGAGAAGTAAGGCTTTGCACTAAGTCATGATAATACACATCCCATAGAAAGCTAATGTGCAACTCTACCTTCCTCAACACAACTCAGGAAACAAGTTCTGTGGGCCTGAGATTTCATTTCAGTACAGCCTGAAAAAGCTGGTGAGCCAAGCCCAAAGCCCTATTTTTTATCCATAGCAGAGAAGCACGTTCTTAGATCTCATGACCAAAAAAAAAAAAAAAAAAGCTCAAAACGATATGTTGGTTCACTGGGCTGCTTTTTCAATCCCCACTCCCCAAGATGCTGCCCTAAGGGACAGCTGTAGCGTCTTCGTCAATAGCAAAGACATTTTCAAGAGTCAAAAAGCGAAATACAAAAGTTGATGTACAACACACTAAAAATACCTGCCCTTCCCCACCAAAAAAAAACCCTAAATAAGTCAGTAAGTCTTCTTCCCACCCCCACCCCCGCCCCCGCCCCCGCCCCCATGTCTTAGCCCTTTTGCTTGGGACTGGCCGGCAGCGATTTTCCTGGCAAGCTACTCCTCCATCTGCGCCCAGGCCTCCTCCGCCTTCTGGTAGTACTGGTTGGCCAGCCGGCCCTTCATGGCTTCCATCGCTGCCTCGGCTGCCTGTGTGTACAAGTCGCCTGAAGAAGAGCAAAGTGGGGCACAGAGAGGTGAACCACCTGTTGTTTTGCCAGCCCCGTGTCCCCCGACCCCTCGCTGGGAACAGCACACTAAGATTCCTTTAAAGACCTAAACTACTCCTTATCCCCTCACCCTGTGTGGAACCTGGGTGGGCACGTGATTCAAGCCTGGCCAATCAAAGCACCCTTCCCATTCGCACCAGGCCTTACGGACTTCCACTGATAGCCAATCAGACATCCAGACTTAAGCACAGCCAATCAGAGTAAGCCACCTCCATGAGCTCAGTGATTAGCTTAGGGGTGGGCGGGGGATTCCATTTGAGCCAATGACAATCAGACTGAGGATTTTTACAAGATTCATTGAGGGGAATGCATGAAAGGGGAAGAAATAAAGATTACAAACAGCCTCGTGTCAGTTCTGGAGAGGTTTTGCTTCCAAGAAAATCTGTGCAACGTGTACAAAAACACTTGGTTTTCAGAGTTTTTTTGGATTTAGAAATTTCAAATAAGGGATTATAGAATTGCATTATTATTTGCTTAGTTTTTTTTTATATACCACCTTTAAAAATTTTTTTTAAACTTTTAAATTTAGGCCTGTCCTACGAAATCAGGAGTAACAAAAAATATGTGTGTGTGTGTGTGTGTGTGTGTGTGTATAAAACGTGCAGATCAACTGATGAATGGATAAACAAAATGTGGTATATCTATATGATGGAATATCATTTGGTAATAAAAAGGAATGACGCACTGATACCCATTACAACATGGGTGAACCCTGAAAACATGACACTAAGTGAAAGAAGCCAGATACAAAAGGCCACATATTGTATGATTCCATTTATATGAAACATCTAGAACAGGTAAATCCATACAGACAGGCAGTAGGTTGGTGGTTGCCAGGGTTAGAGAGAAGGGGAGAGGGGGAGTCGCCGCTAACAGGTGATGGAAATGTTCTGAAATTAGATAGTGGGGATGGCTGCACGACATGATGAATACACTAAAATCCACTGAACCATACACTTAAAAATGGTGACTTTTATGGAATGAAAACGTCAGTTCAATTTTTAAAACTGCTGAAATACCAAACTCCTAACATGTAACCATTAAGATAAAAATATTCATCTGCATATCAGCTCCATAAAGCTCCCTCCTAAGCCAGCACCATGTGGGCACACAGAGCCAGTAGGAATCTTTCTCCTCTCCAATGAAAGAAGAGACTCCATCTTGTGTCTTGCTGTAATTCCCTCTGAGACAGGAATTATGTCCCTCCCGGCCCAGCCCTGCCCGCCCCCAGGGGCAGGTCAGTCAGGCCCTACCTGATCTCTGCGGGTCCTTCTCTAGCCCGCAGCCGCCGGTGAACAGCATCTCAGCCTCCCTGGCCAGCAGCGTGTACCGAGGCTCATCTTGCATCCCATCATACTCACCGCCCTCGTCACAGTCTGTCATCTCCAGGGCTGTGCTGTACCAGTGCAGAGCCTCTGGCCAGTCTTGGGACCTTCCAGGACATACAAAAGACAAGTTAGAGGTTTCCATGGCAACAGGCAGGAGGGCGGAGGCCCGTGAGCAGGAGGGACAAGTCAGGGATCCCAGGGGGGCCACCACCTATGATTCACGACCCATAGTACCCAATGCTACCATATCTAAGGGGTGCCATTCACATTGTAGATTTATATATTAAGATAGCAGTCAAGTAGCTTTCCCTAGCAAGATTGGTATATTACACAATTTTCCAACAGATGATGTAGAGTATCTTGAGGAAGGGGGCATTTTTTTTAGTTTGTACAAAATCACTCTATGGGCTAGCATTAGCAGTAGCTGGGACACCAGCCAATCCGCCCTATGACTAAGCAGGAGAAGAGGTGGGTGGGGGACCCTTTGCCAAGGCCTCCAGAACCATCCAAGCTAACAGCAGTCACTCGGCCCCATCTTCTGCTCTGCCTGTGCTGGCCAGCTCTGTCTCTCCTTCGAGCACAACACAGAGCTCTCCCCAGAATAGCGGGCTTCTCTCTCTGGCTCTGCCCCTCTACCCTCAACTCTTTCTCCCTACTATAGCACATGAACGGCCAAGCCCCCAAGGGCAGACCAGGTTCCATCGACATCTGAACAACATGAAATAAGAGCAAACAGGGCAGCGGGCTCTTTTTCTTGGAGTGTGCTAACTAAGCATGTGAGTACCTATTTATAGCACATCAGGAAAGAGCAAGGAGAGATGCAGATAAGAAAGTCTATGGGCCTCATGAAATGTTCCAGGAGCCACAGCTCCAATGACTTGCTGGCCTCTCCTCTGAGGCCCTACCTGAGCTGGTTCCACCTGTCTTCGCTCCCATTAACCTCCCTCCATGCCAGACTGGCTGGGCCCCCTTCTCTACCCTGAATATGCCAGACCCTGTCTGCCCCTTGGCCTTTGCACCTGCTGCTCCCTCCGCTTGGAGCATTCACTCTTTGTCTTTCCATACCTGACTCCTCATCCCCCCAACCTCAGCTCCTATGTCACCTCTTCAGAGGCACCACCCCCAAACACCCCATTTCCTACAATCGCCTCAATCTGTAATTCTCCTGTTTACTTATTCACTTGTTTATCATGGTTTCCCCTGGCTAGGACGTAAGCTCCAAGAAGGCTAGAACTTTGCTTTGTCCACTGCTGCATTCTCAGGGCCTGGCAAATAGCTCAGCCTCCCTCAATGTCTGCTGAAGGAATAAACGTAAACACGTGGCTGGCTGGCATGGGGTTCAGGAGATAACACTGATTCCATTTTATTTCATAGAAAGGGCAAATCATTTGAAAATTATCGGTGACATTCCCAACAAACTAGGGTTTTAACAGTGGACTGGAAGCCGCTATACTACGTGATCTCACTCTTCAGTTTTGACCCTCCCCAGTCTAGAAGGGCAAAGCAGAAGTGCCCCAAACGCATTACACGGGAAAGAGAAGAAAGGGCCTAATCTCTCCCTGCCCACCCCCACCCGACTCTACGCCCAGTGGTCAGGGTGCCCACCCTGCCTCGGAATTTCCAATGACTTTTCCTTCCCGTGTTAAGTGGTAACTTCTGAGAAGGCTGAAACCACATAAATGCAAATTTGGGCCTACATAGGGCCCTGCCTTACCCAGAGCTGGCCCTTAATTAACGCGCCCTGAATGGAAGAGGCTGGAACTGCTTGGAATGAGGAAGAAGAATAAGAAAATGACTATAGTGGAAGCTATAAAAGAAAATTGTGATAGATTTAACTACACGAATATTAAAAAACCAGTTGCCCCAAACCCAGTAACAATGGTCATCGAGTGGAGTATGTGCCTCCCCTCCCCCACAGTGATCACAGCCATCCCTGAAAAATAGTTTTGTTTTTTTTTTTAAAGAGAAGCATATGCCTTAATATTAAAAAATTCTTAACGGGGTGCCTGGGTGGCTCAGTCGGTTAAGCGTCTGCCCTGGGCTCGGGTCATGATCTCAGGGTCCTGGGATCGAGCCCCGCATTGGGCTCTCTGCTCGGCGGGGAGTCTGCTTCTCCCCCTGCTTGTGCTCTCTCTCAAATAAATAAATAAATAAAATCTAAAAAAAAATTTTTAACAAATCAAAAACAAAACAAAACACTATCATCTCGAATAAAATGTAAACAAAAGGCATGAGGAGAAAACACACAGAGCAAAGGCTTCCTAAGGACCTTGGAGACAAATCTTCAGTGCCCAGCTCCAGTATGCTGGGCTCCCCCACTGCAATCAATGGGAACCATACATGTTGGCATTTGACCTGACATAATAGGCTCATGCCTTTTTTGTTCACCTCCTCTCCACGCCAGTATAGCTGAGTCCACTGAGAAGCAGGCCGGTGCATAGTACACTGGAGGAGAGAGAAGACCCGGGATTTGGCCCTGTCGCTTGCTAGCTATCTGACCACAGGCAAGTCCCTTCACGTCTCAGAACAAGTTGAGTCACCCATATATACTGGGGCTAAAAAGACCTGCCCTATCTGTGGCAGAGAGAAGCGCTGGTTCATTCATTCATCTAGTAAGCCAGGCCCTGCAATAAGCGCTGGGATTACAGAGATGCAGGAGACCCGGTTCTTGCTCTCAGTGAGATAAAATCACAGATATGTGAAGGTACAGTCCAAATTGAAGGGGGCATTATCGTCATATAGTAGATATCTGGTCAGTTTTTGGGCTGCGTGATATGTAGTATAGGAAGGATGTCACGTAGCGAGACATTTTAGACACTGAGAGCTGGATATGACACAGTGACAGTCCTGACATTCCCTAAACCTGGGGGTGGGGTGGGGGGGGGAAGATGAGACCTTGACCCAAAGAGGAGGGAAGTTCCAGGCTGCTCCAACCCTGTAGGCGTGGACAATGAACATGCCCACCCTGCTCCCGTCCATAAAGCCACGGGCTCCTGAGGACAGGAGGGGTAGCTGGGACCCAGTGGGAGCCACAGGCCTGAGCAATGGGTCCCATGACCAGTTCAATTCCCCCAAATGATCTCCACTGTTGGGACCTCTGGGACTTCCCACTGGCTAAGCCAAGGAGATGAGGTGAAGCTGGGCCACCCTCTCTTCCTCCCCCTGCAGAACCCAGTCCTGGCCCCTCAGCCTGAGGGGACAGCTAGAAAAGTGCCTGCACCTGAGGAGTCATAGCTTCCCAGGAGACTCAGAACCATGCTGGAACTCACACCAGGCCTGAATCACCCCTGGAGCTCGCTTCACTCCCTCCTCTCCCTCTCAAGTGAAAAATAATAAAAATAAAAGTAGAGGGGTGCCTGCGTGGCTCAGTCGGTTAAGCGACCGACTCTTGATTTCGGCTCAGGCCACAATCTTAGGGTCATGGGATCAAGCCCTGCGTTGGGCTCCACACTCAGCAGGGAGTCTGAGATTCTCTCTCTCCCTCTCCTTCTGCTCCTCCCCCCAAAATAAATAAATAAATAAATAAATAAATAAATAAATAAATAAAATAAGTAAAAGTGTTCTTTAAAAAATAATAAATAAAAATAAAAGTAGAAAGAGGAAACTAAAATTACCCTTAATCCTATCATCTAGGGACAACCACTCTGGATCAAAAACAAATCTTTGCACATAATGGCTAAGAGGTCCGTCATTTATCTCACACTGAATCTGCCAAGCACAGTGAGAATTACAGGCATCATCTCAATTAACCCGCACACAACCACCCTGGGATACAAGTTCTTTAATTATTCCCATTTCACACTGCGAAGAGACTGAGATCAGGGAGGTGAATTATCTTGTCCACAGTAGGAGACTGGGACTGGGGGAGCCGAGCCCGGAACCCGGGTCTGTGTTGATACTGAGGGGAAACCCCACCTGCAGCCCAAGATCCCACAGCTCTACCTGAGCGACAACCACAGTACCTGTCTGGGCTGAGGTTCTGGCCCGTGTCAAAAGCCCGAGCCACCAGGATCATGGACTGTCTGTCGCCAGCTTCAGCTGCCTTCAGTAAGTATTTGAATCCTTTGGTTTTATTCTCTTCTGTCTCCTGTCAATACAAACCAAAGAGGGGGAGAAAGACAGAGATGAGGCAGGGAGGAATGGAAGCTTAGCCCACTCTTTTTTTTTTTTTTTTTTTAAGATTTTATTTACTTGAGAGAGAGAGCACACAGAGAGAAAGGGGGAGAAGCAGGTTCCCCACTGGGCAGGAAGCCCAATGTGGAACTCGATCCCAGGACCCCGAGATCATGACCTGAGCCGAGGGCAGACGCTTAACCGACTGAGCCACCCAGGCGCCCCCAGCTTAGCCCACTCTTGCTCACTATACCCCACCTGCTCTGATTCCTCCAGAAAGCCACATCATCTCCTGTCTCCAGTAGGGCTCCCCACTTCCATTATTTAAAAAGTTTTTATTTTTATTTTTTAATTTAAAAAGTTTTTAACAGCTTTATGGAGATATAATTTACATACTGTACAATTCATCCATTTAAACCCACAATTCAGTGAGTTTTAGTATATTCACAGAATGCGCAACTATCACCATTACCAATTTCAGAATATTTTCATCAGACCAAGAAGAAACCAAAACACCATACCCCTCCACCGTAACCTCCCAAATGCCCCATCCCACCCAGCCCTAAGTAACCACTAGCCTACTTTCTGTCTCTAGAAATTTCTCTATTCTGGACACTTTGTATAAATGCAATCATATATTACCTGGTCTATTGTGACTAGCTTCTTTAACTTAGCATAAAGGTTTTAATGTATCAGTGCTTTGTTCTTTTTATGGTCAAATAACAGTCCATTGTATGGATATACCACATTTGATTCAACAGTTGGTGGATGTCTGGATTGTTTCCACTTTTTGGCTATTGTGAATAATGCTGCTATGAACATCTGTTACAAGTTTTCAGGCAGTTGTGTGTTTATTTTCTCTTTTCCTTTTTTTTTTTTTAAGATTTTATTTATTTAATTGACAGAGAGAGAGAGAGAGAGAGGGAGACAGCATGAGAGGAAACACAAGCAGGGGGAGTGGGAGAGGGAGAAGCAGGCTTCCGGCCGAGCAGGGACCCTGATACGGGGCTCGATCCCAGGCCCCTGGGATCATGACCTGAGCCGAAGGCAGACGCTTAACCAACTGAGCCACCCAGGTACCTGTGTGTTTATATTCTCTTGGGCAGATACTAGGAGTAGAATTGCTGGGTCATATGTAACTCTACGCCTAGACGTTGGAGGTGCTGCCCAACTGTTTCCCACCGTGGCCGCACCATCTTACATTCCCACCAACACTGCCCATTCCTACCTGCTCCATGCTGCTCCCCCAAGATCCTTTCCATCGAAGCAGCCATAGAGACGCTTTTCAAGACCAAGTCAGGTCACAGTACTCTATCAAAAGCAGCTCTATGGCTTCTTACCTCGCTTAGAGACAAATCCCAAACCCTCCTATCAGCCCACGAGGCCCTTCTCAACCTCTGGGCTCCCAGAAGACCACCAGCTGTCCCTATATCCATTCTCCTCTGCCGTATTTTTGCCAGCACATGGCTGACCAGCTAAAGACTACATTTCTCAGCCTCCCCTGTAGCCAGAACCTGTATCGTAACACAAGAGTCCTATCCAGCCCCTCTGTCACACTCCGTCATATTTTTCCCCCAGCATATTAGAACAATGCCCAGCACAGGAAGTGCTCAAGAAAGGCTAGTTATTTTTAATTCTGTTGGAAAGATTCTTATTTGTTAATTACGGTCTGTCCTACATCCTTCCCCACCCGAAAAGTTTGCTCCATGAGAGCAGGAACCTGGGACAGTGCCAAGTGTAGGAGACTGAGACTCTCAAAAACATGTGCCGGGGGCGCCTGGTTGGCTCAGTCTTTAAGCGTCTGCCTTTGGCTCAGGTCATGATCCCAGGGTCCTGGGATCGAGCCCCACATCGGGCTCCCCATTCGGCAGGAAGCCTGCTTCTCCCTCTCCCACTCCCCCTGCTTATGTTCCCTCTCTGTGTCTCTGTCAAATAAATAAATAAAATCTTAAAAAAAAAAAAAGAAAAAAGCATGTGCCGAATAAATGAATGTCTTAGCAAAAAGAAGGAGGCATTGGAGAAAGTGGGTGATGGGCTTTCTAGAGCGCACAGTGGCTTCTAGGGCGCATGCCCATCGTTTTACTTGCTAAGCTATAAGCCTGCTGGGACACAGCTCACTTCCTTCCTGCCTGCCCTTTCCTAACCGCAAAGCTCTGTCCAACCCCACTCCTGCTAGAGGAAGCTGCCAGAGTCCATCCTCCAGAGAAAGGCCTTCGGGATGCCTACAGATGGGGAAACTGAAATGGCTTCTCAATCCCTTTACAAGGTTGCCAGGGTGTGGTATGTGTAAACAGCCTGAGGTCACAAAGAGACTTCCCCCAGTCCTGGCCGCTCACCACTCATTCTGGGCTCTGAGATTACTTTATTCAGGTCTCTCAGATCTTTCGAGCATCCTCTCTGTGCCAGGCTCGGAGGCGGATGCTGGGGGAACAGGCCAAAGGCAGCTTTATATTGGAGCTGGCTCTCCAGTCTCGTGCCAGCCTATTGTGAAGTTATCGAGAATTTTTTTTCTTAAAGATTTTATTTATTGTTTTAGAAAGGGAGAGCAGGGGAGGGGCAGCGGGAGAGGGAGGGAGAGAATCTTAAGCGCTCCATCAACAAGCCTGAGATTGTGACCTGAGCTGAAATCAAGGCTTAACCACTTAATCAGATGCATAACCAACTGAGCCACCCAGGCGCCCCTTAAAGATTTTAAGTAATCTCTACACCCAACATGGGGCTCAAACTCGCAACCCAAGATCAAGAGTCGCCTGCTCCACCGACTGAGCCGGGTACCCCTCTACAGATCAGAGTTTGATTGTTCTTTTTGATGAAAACAAAGGGTTGGGGAAAATATGGATAATGCAGATTAAACTTTCTGTAATCACGACACGGTGACTGGCACAGGAAATCGAAGACACATTTCTCAGTATTTAAACTACTACCTGATGCAGCAAAGTTGTTCATGTCTGACCATCCTGTCACCTCTGCTCACGGCTCACCTCCCGCACTCTACCTGGCTGACTCCCACTCAGCTTTTAGGTCTAACTCAGAGGTCACCTTATTCATCTGTTCTGCAAATGTACACGGAGTATGTACTGTGTGTCGGGCTTTGTTCTCACTACCGGGGACCCAGCTGGAACCTGCTATCAGGAAGCCTCCACTGACTCTGTGACACCCACTCGGGGCCCTTCCCCACCTGCTTCCCCCAGTATCTTCTGCTTCTCCCATCACGCCGTGTCGTCATCGAGCCACAGAGCGGAAACTGTCACCTTGTGCTCATTCCTCAGGGGCAGAGCCCAATCACACCAGTTTCAGCTAACCAGCAAGTGCCTAGCCCCAAACTGGTGCTCAGGAAGTTTCTGGGGCATGCACAAACCCGCAGGACGGGGAGGATGATGACCGAACCCCCGTCGTGGCTGGGTCCCCGCCACCCCTCACCTTCAGAGAGACGTCGGCCAGGATGTGGTGGGGCAGCTGTGAGCACATGAGCCCCAGGCCCACGATGGCCTCCAGCTCGCCCAGGTCAGCTGCGTGCTCCAGGTGGAAGACAGCTGACCCACGGTCCCACTCCTCGTCCTTCTCGCAGAAGCGCCCGCCCTCGTGGTAGCGCACCATGGCCAGATGCACCTGCCACACAGACGTGGGTGTTGGCCGGGCTGCCTGGGCAGCTGCACCCCCCGGGCCTCCCAGCCAGCCTGCAGGAAGAAGCAATTAGCGGAGCAGAAGCGTGCGCCAGGCTCTGGGTCAGTGGCAAGAGGGCTCTGAGACGGGCATCGCTGGTACCTTCCCCAGGATGGACTTCCCAATTTTCTTCTCAAGGTCCAGAGCATTAAGCCTTTGCACTTCCAGGGCCACAGCGGAAGGTCTCGGCAGGTGGAGGCGGGAGGGGTTGAGGAGATTCCATTTCTCCACGCAGACCTGCAGGAGAGAACGGCGCCTGGTTTACGGGCCAGGGAATGAGGGGCGGGGGTGCAGGTGCCATCACCAGCTGTCGGCCGCTCCTACTGCACAAGCCGGGCTGGCAAGCTGCAGGGAGCAAACCCTTAAGGTGTCAAATCTTCTTGGACCAACACGGCTCCATTTCTAACCCCTCAAATCCTGCCAATTTGTGGGCGCTGAGGGAATATCATAGCACAAAGGCCAGCAGACATACTGCGGCAGTTCAAAGTGTTTCTCTCTCATTTATCGAGCAGGCTTTGGTTGGGGAGGTTGGACCCTAAGCTGCGCCCTTGGCCTGTGACCCATACAAAGCACAAGAAAAGTCTGACTTCAGACCCTGCAGCAAATCCACTCCGCTTGCCTCTGTGCATCAACAGGATACTTTGGGGAATGGGTTTTGAAAACACAACATGTTCCCAGCTAAAGACACTCTCTTCCAAAGGTCCTTGCAGGACAGAGCCAGGTAGCTGCGTGTCCATGTGTGCTAAACATCCTGCCGCACACACGGCATCCCCCATGACAAAGACGGGCCCGGCCCAGAATATCAGCGGCACCACAGTTGAACCACCCTGCTCCACACCATGCTGAGACCTCGTCCCATGCGGTAAATAAATAGTGCGCGGTGTAGGTGATCTGCATAGAAACACTTGCCCGTGAACCTGGGGAAAGCTGCTTAAGATCTCGGTTTTCTCATACACAAAATGGGGATGAATAATGTTAGCCTGTCTCATTAGGTGGCTGCAACAAGTTAACTAATGCTATGAGGTTATATGGGCATTACTTTGACATGTGAGCTGTGGTCCTTACAACCTGCCCCTCCAGGATGGGCTGTCCTGCTCTTCTCTATTCCTCTCCACAGACGCCCCAGGGCCCCGCCCAAGCCAGGGGATCAAAAGGTATTTGCCAAGAGGATTGGCTCCTTTGCAAAATCTTCCTTTAGCTGGTGTGTGGGGCGCCTGGGCAGGCAGCAGTGACAGCAGAGAGGAGCCGCGGAGGCTGGAGAAGGCAAGCACACAGCCATGACAAGGATGCCTTGGGGCGCATTACCCGTCCGGAGCTGCCCAGGCTGTCTTCGTCGGACTCGTACCTCCGGTTACCGTTTGAGTGGCCCTGAGGGAGGAGGAGGATAGGATGAGCCACAGAGCGGCTCTCCCTCCCAAGAACCGGTCCCCACCTCCCCTCCAGGGGAAACCTCTCAGGGGACAGGCCCAGGCCCCCTCGCCACCCCCCCCCCACCAGGGGACCCTCCTCCCAGGGACCCTCCTCCTAAGGGACAGGACTGTCCCCTAGGAAGGGCAGCTGGAACTCTCATGTGCCAAGCAGAGAGGATGCTGGGTAACAAGCAGGAGCGATGTGTTGGTGTGCCCACAGCCTTGCCCCCACCCTCTCTGTGCGCACAGATGGAAATGACTCAAAGGCATAGGATCATGGCAGACGAGCTCCAAGAAAACCTCCTTCCTCTTACCAAAGCTCCCATGACAGTCTTACTTGCAGTAACCAAGCTGAGACCAAAGGGTTGCCAGCAAGACTGGTGCGAAGGCTCAGACTCAACTCTGGCACATGGCAAAACCTCTACGTGGAAGACACTGCTGAAGCCACCCTCACCAGGATGCCGCTGGGTTCCCTTGGAAATCTGTCCTCCCCAGGGACGCCGGAATACCACGTGTGGAGCTGGACCCTCCCACCTACTCCAGCACCATTCCGACCTATTACCCAATAACCAGAGGTTCCAGCTTCCCCATAAGAGTCATCCAACATTTTTAACCCTGTCTAATCCCCCATACTTGACCCCTTACTAAACTTTCAGTCCACATTATCCTGTTTTATCTTCTGCCCTGCATTTATTTTTATCTGAAATCATCTCATTCATGTATCCATTTACCTATTATGTTCTCAAGACCCACTCACATTTCCCCCCCACCTTTCCATCCTCCTGGACAATGAGGCGATAGAACACTGTGGTCTCATTTCCTTGGGGGTTCCTTACATGTTCGCGGGGCTCTGGGTCATCCAGCTCACCCCGCTTCTCACTGGGGTATCCACTGTCTCCACTGTTTTCAGAGTCCTGTGGAGAGAAGATGGTCCTAGGGGTCTCAGTGGTCCTCTGAGTGGTGGCGACTTCTGGACATCCCAGCCATTTGCTCTCTCTCCTTTGTCCTGTCACCTCAACTAACATTCTCTTCCCCCTGCCCTTGCTGGTTGGGTGACAAGGGAGTAGTACAAAGTAGTGGCAGAGAGCTTGGGCTCTGCAGCCAGACTGTCCGGGCTCGAGTCTGAGCTTTGTGGGCCCCGGGTAGCAGTTTCCTCAGCCACGGGATTCATATAGCACCTATATCCAAAGATGAGGATGAAGTGAGGTGTTACCTGCCGTGGATCACAGGAAGTGCTATTATTAAGAGTAGCTCACCCATTTCACAAGCAGAAAAACAAAGGCTGGTTTATGAGCTATGTACCCACGGACACACGGGAGCACTGAGAGCAATATTTATAACAAGGAAGTCCTCCGCCAAAACCACGACATATTTTTTATTCTTCTGGATAGCTCAGAATCTCTAAAACTTCAGTCATTTGCCTACAGCGTCCAGTTCCGGCCGTATCTGCATGTCACCTGCATCACTATTCAGCTCACACTTTTATGTTTCTGTCTTCGTTCTACTAAGAAATATTTCAAACACGCCACTAAGAACAGAAAATACTAAAATGAACTCCCGTGCTCCTATCACCTGGCTTTGTCAGCTCCTGACATTAGGCCTTAGTTACTTCAGATCTTTTATTTTTAAAGATTGATTGACTGATTATTTATTTATTTGAGAGAGAGAGAGAGAGAGAGAGAGAAAACAAGTGGAAAGGGCAGAGGGAGAGGAAGAAAGTTCCAAGCCGACTCCGTGCTGAGCACAGAGCTCGACCCGGGGCTTGATCCCATGACCCTGAGATCACGACCCGAGCTGATATGAAGAGCCCGACACTCAACTGACTGAGCCACCCAGGCTCCCCTAGATCTTTTATTTTTAAAAGAAATTAAAACATTACTGTTAAAATATAGATCTCTTGTGTGCCCCTCCCAACTGCATCCCTTTCCTGCTCCAGGTAAAACCACTTTTGTGAATTCATACTTGTTATTTCTCTATAGTAAGCCATTTTCTTTTACTTAAAGAAATACATATTTAAAAGAAGTTTGGTGTCACCTAGCATTAATGGATCCCTCTCCTAGACAGGCAGGAGCCATGAAAACATACACAGAGGAATCCTTAGCCTCTGGTCTGACCAGGGATCCCGCCACCGCGAGGAGATACATATCCTAAAAAGGCCCTGCCCTTGTTTCTAGAAGCACTATAGACTTCTCTTCTATCTCCCCAAGGCTTTTGTTCTGTGTGAACTGAAAGGCTATTCTGGTTTCTTTTTTAAAAAATATTTCAAGGGGCGCCTGGGTGGCTCAGTCGTTAAGCATTTGCCTTCTGCTCAGGTCATGATCCCAGGGTTCTGGGATCGAGCCCCGAATTGGGCTTTCTGCTCAGTGGGAAGCCTGCTTCTCCCTCTCCCACTCCCCCTGCCTGTGTTCCCTCTCTGGCTGTGTATCTTTCTGTCAAATAAATAAAGAAAAAAAAATATTTCAAAAGGTGCCTGGGTGGCTCAGTCATTAAGCATCTGCCTTCGGCTCAGGTCATGGTCTCAGGGTCCTGGGATCGAGCCCTGCACCGGGCTCCCTGCTCAGTAGGAAGCCTGCTTCTCCCTCTCCCACTCCCCCTGCTTGTGTTCCCTCTCTTGCTGTGTCTCTGTCAAATAAATAAATAAAATCTTTTAAAAATTTTTTCAATTTTTAGGGGCGCCTGGGTGGCTCAGATGGTTAAGCGTCTGCCTTCAGTTCAGGTCATGATCCCAGGGTCCTGGGATCAAGCCCCATGTTGGGCTCCCTGCTCAGCTGGGGGTCTGCTTCTCCCTCTCCCTCTGCCTCTCCCCCTGGTTGTGCTCTGTCTCTCTCTCTTTCAAATAAATAAAATCTTTAAAAAAAAAACTTCAATTTTAAAAATTGAGGTATAATTTACAGATATATTCGATTGAAGTGTTTGGTGTGCTGAGTGAAAGGTTGTTTTTTGAAAATGGAGGGCAGGCCATACCCAGAAGCTCGCGGCTCCTTACACCCCACCCACTACACGACCTTGGGCCCCTCCTCCCACCCTTTGGACTGAGTCCCAAGCTGAGCAATAAGAGAGCTCACTCATACCCCAGCTCTGTACTTTCCAGCTCTGGGACCCCAGGCGAGGCAGCCAACCTTTCCAAACCTGTTTCCTCATCTGAGAAATGGGGAGAATACTCACTCCAAGGTGGAGAAAAGAAGCAAAGTACAGCAGTACAGAGTGGGTTTGAGGCCAGATGGCCTGGATTTGAACCGTGACTCCATCACTGAGTGACCGTGAGCAAGTGGCTGAACCTTTCTGTGCCTCAGTGTTCCCATCTCTAAATCAGGGATCACGAGAGCATTGCCCAGGCAGCTGCTGAGATCGGGGCTAAGGAGCAGGTAGCTGAGGGACAGATGGGAGACAGGCTTTTCACCTTACGAATCTTCTGAACCTTTTCCTTTTCAACCATGAGAATGTGTGAGCTATTCTGAAATTCTAAAATTTATTCTAAGTCTAGATTAAAATCTACTATAAAAGGAATAAAAAATGATATCTACCTCATAGGTTGTTGGGGCTTAAAGGAGAGTATCTATCAAGCTCTTAAAATAGCATCTGCCCATAGTGACAATTCCATACTGTCAGCTCCTCTTATTTTTTTCTTCCACTCGAAAACTCTGAAAAGCAGTCACGAGTGAACTTGAACCTTTGGAGCAATCCCAGGGTGCAGCTTCAAGTGCACCTGAGGTCTGTGCAAGGGTGACCTCTCTGCAAAGTCTGTTTTTAAAATTCCTGGGAGTTTTTTTTTTTTTTTTTTTAAGATTTTATTTATTTATTTGACAGAGAGAGAGAGATAGTGAGCAAGCAAGCAGGGGGAGTGGGAGAGGGAGAAGCAGGCTTCCCGCCAAGCAGGGAGCCCGATTCGGGGCTCAATCCCAGGACCCTGGGATCATGACCTGAGCCAAAGGCAGATGCTTAATGACTGAGCCACCCAGGTACCCCAAAAATTCCTAGGAGTTTTTTATTTTGACACTGTAATATAAGTTTGCGTGAATGCAAATGTGATGCCTTCAGCTTCCTACCACGGATCAGTCAGAGGCTGCTGGAAACCAGTCCTGTTTATCCAGCCTGAGAGCATCACATCGGACTGTGCTGTAAGTTACTCGTCTGAAACCCAGGATAGCTCCCTCCCCCAGGACAGCTATCCACACGCATGTGGCCAGACCAGTCCAGGGCTGAGCTCGCTCAGCATTTACCAGAAGGTTGCACTGTTGCTAATTTGGATTCCCTTTTCTCTAACCATCTCTGGGAACTGCAACGGAGCCAGCTCTTCCCAGAGGACACCACTGCCTGGGGCAGGAGGCTGAGAGTTATCTGCATTCCTCTGGGCCCCCTGGCAGTGCCCAGAGTAGACCTAGGCTGCCCGCCTCTGGATCTGAGGATTCAGCCTTGGTCCTGACTGGGAGTGAGTCCATTGCTCCCAGCCCTGCTCTCTTGGTCCCTCTCCAGCTTACCCGGTGGTTGTCCAGATGGTCGTGTTCTCGGGGTGCCATGTTGTCAAGGTCGCTGAACACAGGCCATTCTGGGCAAGAGAAAACAGAGATAATGCACCGGCTCCATCAGGAGAACTGTTTAAAAGACCAACTACAGCCTAGAGCTGAATGCACCAGCCACCAGGCCTTTTCTCATTTTAAATTTTTTTAAGAAGGTGCAAAAATGGGAAAAGAATGTTGTCAGCGCCTGGGGGGGGCTACAGTGCTTCCTCACGAACTTATTCAGAGTTGGGGTGCCTGGATGGCTCAGTCGGTTAAGTGTCCAACTCTTGGTTTCAGCTCAGGTCATAATCTCAACGTCATGAGATCAAGCTCCATGTCAGGCTCCTCACTTAGCACAGTCTGCTTGGGACTCTCTCTCCCTCTGCCTCTCCCCTCTGCTCTCTCTCTCAAATAAAAAAATAAATCTTAAAAAAAAAAAAAAAAAAAAAAACTTATTCAGAGTCTGCCACTTGCTAGCTGTGGGGTCCTGAGCGGGTAGCTTAACCTCTGTGCCTCCTCAAAGTTGCAATGTAAATATACTTGTGCAATGTGCTTAGAAGCACATGTACCTGGGCCATGGTTGGCCTTCAAGGAGGTGCAGGTGTGAAGGAACAACAACCATGTGTATATTTAGGACCCAATGAGCACCTACAGGTTGGGGAAGCCTCAGATGGCTTAAAAACCAACCACCTCCTTCCTGGTGGTTCCCAGTTTCCATCTCCTGCCCTGAGCTTCCACAGCAAAATCCGGCTTGTTTCCTTTTTTAATGTGGTTTTTAATAATGGTTTTCCATTTTAAAGTGGTTGAAAAATTTAAGAGTAGTATCTTGAGATATTGGAAAATTACATGAAATATAAAATGCAGTGTCTTTATTGGAACAGGGCCATGCCTATTCATTTGAGTGCTGTCTATGGCCATGTTCATGCTGCTAATGCAGAAACCATATGTCTCACAAAGTCTAAAAGATTTACCCTCTGGCCTTCTAAGAAAAGTCTGTCAAATCCTGTTTCAAACTATACCCAAGGTCTTCTAAGTGGAAATGTCTAACAGGCTTCTTTGACATTTGACACCAAAATCTTCCTTTTCTGCTCCTCTGTGGACTCCCCCAGCTGCATAAATGGCCCTTGAAGTTCTTCAGATCAAAACCCTGGAGAGTCAGCTTTGCCTACGCTCTTTCCTGCAGACCCCATGTCCACATCATCAGCCAACTCTGTCACTTCAACTTTGGGAATAAGGATTCCGTTTTCATCCTCTGACCTATTCATATGATGTTCATTGATTTCCTAATGTTGAACAACTCTCAGATGCCTGCAAAACCCTATTTGATTATGACAGAGTATTTTTTTAGGATACTACTGGTTTTTGTTCATACTTTATTTAGAATTTCTGTATTGTGTATTTATTTATAAGTGAGGTTGAAATGTAGGTTTTCTTTTTTTGCTGTTTTGTTAAATTTTGGTATAAAGGTTTTTCTAGTTTCAGAAAACACAATGAAAAATGTTACCTTGTTTTCTAAAATAGGGGTTGTTTTATTTATTTTTTAGGGGTTGTTTTAAAAGCATTTGGATGACTTGTGTCTCAAAAATTTATCCAGTGAACTCACTCGTAAAACCATCTGGGCCATGACCCTTTTTGGTTAGCATATCTGATTTCCTAACGTAAGTGAAAGCCAGTTTAGCAGTGTTCTTTCTGGTGCCTGTCCCCTTCAAGCATGATGACCAGGGATGGAAACATCACTCACGGAGGTGGTCCAGTTTCTGGCTGTGTGGTGTGGCCGAAGACGGGGAGGAAGGGAGAGAGTCAAAGGTCACATCACTCATGTTCTCATCTCCAGAGTTCTCTGAAAGGCGAAGGAGCAGGGGGGGGCGACTCCCAGAGAGGGTCCTTACTCGGGGGCTCCCACACTTTTCCTCTGTCCCCCTCAAGATGGTCTTGGCCGATTGCTGGAGAATTAACAGGGACACCCGTGTTACACAGGAGCCTTCTGGGGAGTGAAGGAGTCTTTTAGTAGCATGTTGTTCACCTGAACCCTGAGGCCCTTTCAATCCATAGCTCCCATACATACCTGTTTAGGGACTAGCAGGAAATCTAAAAATAATCAGTGGGGGGTTAACCCGAAGGCCTCTATAAAGGGGCATCTGGCACAGGAGCTCAAAGCCAGCCAGCATTCCCAAAGTGCTGACCACACTCTACAGCCCTGAGCTGGGGAATACCTAACAGCATACATCCAGAATCCCAAGTTGGTCTTTGCTGACCGTCTCTTGTATCTGATCAAGGTAATGGCAGAGGGGGTGGGCACATCCTGGACACAGCAAGGTGCCTGAAGAGCCAGGTCCAAGTCTAGTCCAGCCATTTGTCAACAGGCTACACAAATACACATACCACACACCTCTCTCACTCCCTCTACACATCTGGTCTCATCACTCTGATCAGAATAGGTCCAATCAAGTAGACCCCAGTTACTGTCAGTGGGGACACTTGGAAGGGCTTTGTGCACTGATCTGGGAGGGATGAGGGGCACAGATGGGGCTGAGATCCTTTGGGCCCTGAAACTCTTCAAGTAAGCATGACTGCACCTAGGCTGCCATCACAGAGAAGCATGGCTTACTGGCCTGGCAGTGGAAGGGCCCCTGCTCCCTCTGAGCAGGTTCCCACTGGGCACCCACCAGCAGCTTGGTGTTCTGATTCACGGCATCCCTCTCTCTTGGCGAGAGGTCAAAGGGAGCGAGGCCCATGCTCTTGCAAATCCGGTTGCAGGCATGAGAGTAGAAGAAGAGCGCCATCCCCCGGACACCTGCAGACAGAGCAGGGGAGTCTGGAGCATTGACTTGCTTTGTGACAGGGGCAGGGCAGCGCTGGGCACCATAAATGTGGCAAGGGCAGGTGTCGAACATGCTGAAGTGGCGGGCATCAGGCGTCCCAAACTTCCATCCCCACCATCTTGGAAAAGCCAACCTACCACCTCAGCCAGTTTCCCTGGGTGTACGAAGAGCTGGGAGATTTGGGGGGCAGAGGGAGTGTGGTCTCCATGGAAACGAGCTGGCCTTCCCCACCTACCTAGGTTGCCATCTCCAAAGTCAGTGCCCTTCTCGGTGTGGATCTGCGGGTCAGTGTAGAGGTCGCCCACACCCTGGATGTCTACCACAATCAGCTGATGCCCAGAACGCTCAAATGTGAAGTGGCTGAAGGCCTGGGGGAGAGGCAGGGGGGAGACAGGAAGAGTAAGGTGACTGACCGCAAAAGACCAGGCTGTGGTCTGCATGGACACAGGTCAGCCACCACTGAGGGGCTGCAACACCCCATCTCTGCCCACGGTGGCGCCTTTCCCTGCAAGGAGAGGTTGTAGGGAGGAAAGGACAAAGGGAGGAACCCTGTTTAATCCTGCAGGAACGTTAGGTCTGCTCACAGAAGCTGCCCAGGTGGTCCCGTTTCAGGATCTACTTCAGGGGGGCTCCATGAGGCTTGAGGACCCTCTATGGGTGAGACCTCACACCCACAGGGACCCTCCCCTCCAGGGGCCTCACCTGTGGTGTCAGGCGCATGTTGTCATCGCGAACAAAGCCTGAGTTGGAGTTGTACTTGATGTACTTGCCCTCGATATAGTGCTCCAGGTGGAAGAGAGGCTTGCCCGGTCTGTCCTTCAGCTCCACCACGCACATCTGCATGATGTCCACCTGGGTGGGAGCGGAGGTCAGGCAGGAGCCCGGCGGCACTCACCTCTGATGGCAGATCAGAGCAGAGGACTTGGGAGAAGCCAGCCTGCCCAGGCTCCCATCCTGGCTCCATCAGTTATCAGCTCTTCACGGCTAAAACTGCCAACTGTTCCCAGAATCCACTCTCCCCTTTCCTTTTGAGAATGAAAACCCCTGTGACGGCCTAAATGTGTCTCCCCCAAATTCCTATGTTGACATCCTAACCCTCAAAGGTGATGGTATTAGGTGGGGCCTTTGGGGAGGGGATTAGGTCATGAGGGAGGAGCCCTCATGAATGGGATTGGTGTCCGGATAAAGCTGACCACACAGAACTCCTTTGCTAGGTCCGCCCTGTGAGAACATAGCAAGAAGACACCGACTAAGGAACCAGGGGAGGGACTTCACCAGAATGTGACCATGCCAGCACCTTGATTTTGGACTTCTCAGCCTCCAAAACTGTAAGCAATAGATTTCTATTGTTTGTAAGTTGCCCAGTCCGTGGTATTTTGTTAGAGCAGCCCAGAGGGACTAAAACAACCCCCATTTGAGTTCTAACAGGATGCATAGCCATCCAGTAAACGACATGGCTTGGCTTCCCTGGTGGCTAGGTGCGGCCATGTGACCAAGCCTGGCCAATGGGAAGCGAGCAGCAGTGACCATGGCACCCCAGCCTGCCCCCTCCTCCTCTGGCCAACCAGAGGCTGTAGAGCCGACATCTGCCAGTGAGGCCAACCTGGCCTCCTGGTCCACGGCCACACCCCAGAGGAAGGCAGAACCGCAAGACAGAAGAAACCAGGCTTCTGGATGCCTTAAGGAGGCATGGCACCAGCCTACCCTGAACCGCCCCCTACCAAAGCAGGACAGTCAGATGAGAGAGAAAGAAACCATGTTGCGTTAGAACATGTTTATGGGTCTGTATGCTAAGCAACTTAGCCCGTGCCTTACACTAATACACTGAATGTGGACCAACTGTGCCTCAGTTTCCTCACCTGTGGAATGGGGAATCTCACATTTAGTGTGAGGATGAAATCTGGTGATACATGAGTCTGTCAACATTTGCTGATGCTCATATTACTAGTAGACACAACTCTAGAGCAGTATCCACCAGTCTATAAAGGGTGGTTCGCTCTCTGCAATGGGGAGTTATGGGAGAACTTAGACTTTCCTTGCTGAATTTTTTACCAAGCACATGTTTCATCTATATGCAGAGGGAAATGTGTAAGTCCTGTGAATGGTTTGTAAAGTGGGGTTGGTAAGACCTGAGACACCACCCACAGCACCCCATCCCCCTCAACAACACCCGTAATAGAAGGATCCAGGTCTGCGTTTCCCAAGGAAACAACCATCCAAGGAACCGTCTGGTGACCCAGCTGCAGAGGATGAAGAGGCCCCGAGCTGAGAACTGCCCCAAACGTGGCCTCGGTTCCTAGAACCAACCTAAGGGGAAGGAGCAGCTGGTTCTCAGAGGTTCCCACCCCCAAATACTGGCTCTATCCCTACAAGGAAATCTATGGCGGGGCCACCTGCTTGGCCAGTGGGCTCACTGGGAGAGAAGTAGCTGCAGGGGTGCGGCCAGCAAGGGATGACCAGCTCCTCCCCAAACAGGTACGCTCCTTTCCCTTCATCAGTTCCACCAAGCACAGTATTTACTGAGCACCCAGGCACTGTGATACAGAGTGAACAAGGCATAAAATCCCTGCTCCTGGCAGAGAGAGGCAACCAGAATATTAACTACAGGAACAAGACTCTTTCGGATAGCGCTAACTGCTCCAAGCGAAAGAAACTAGAACTGACAGAATGACCTGACAGAGGACAGCAGTGGGAGGGCTCCTTCATTTAGGATGGCCTGGGGTGGCCTTGCTGAACAGGTGACATATGAGCTGAGACCTGAACTATGAGAAGGTGCTCAACATGCAAGGATGGGGCTGGGGTTGCAGCGGGGTGGGGGTGGGGGGGAACGACAACAATGATACAGGCTGGGGACACAGCCAGAGCAAAGGTCCTGAGGCAGGAACAAGCTTAGGGAGGAAGAGAAAGGAGGCCAGGATGATATGAAGCAAATTACTGAGGAGGTCACAGACCCCATGGGTGGGGACTGTGGCTTCCTGGGTCTACCCCAAGTGCACTTAATCAAGGGCCACGCAAACAAGAGGTGCTCGATAAATTCTGCTGGTTTCTCGGAGGTGCGGCTCTCCCGAGGCACCCAGGAGACAGTACCATGTTATCATGTATGTGTTCAAACAGTGGGAAAGCTGAGCTGTGAATCTGGGCAGGGCAGAGACATGGAGGGCTGTTTCTCAAATGCCCACAGGCAACAGGAAACTCTGCTTGGCCCAGGGTCACTAAACAACCTGGGGGCTCAACTGAAGGAGCCAACTGGGCAGGGGCCTGGAATGCCTGGCTTTGAGGCCTGGCTCCTTTCCTGCCTGTTGGGGCAGGTCACTTAACCCCTTTGAGCCTGGGGGCTCCCCAGGGGCAGACACGCTATCCATTCTCCCCTCCTTCTGCTTTTTCTTGGAGCCACCAATCTCAGTCTGCATAGTCTGGGGGAAGGACCCACATTGCTGCCTCTAAGGGTGAGCACAAGGCTCAAGGCCTGCCCAATCTGCATATTCCCTCCCCTGGCTATTGTGATTGGCTCAGCAACAGGCACCTGACCTAATCAGAGCCAATGAAACCCAGTTCTGAGACTTTCATTGGAACTTCTGGGAAAACAGGTGTTGTCCTCCCACCAAGGTTTCTGAGAAGACAGGAAGTGAGCCTGCAGCTGCTTGCGGCCCACATGCCATCAACACCAAGGCTGGGGAAGAGATGGGGAAGATTTTCAACATCCTGTTTGGTCCTGGATCCAGCCGTACCTGTGGCCAGCGCTATTTCTCAGTGACATGAGGCAATAAATTCCTCGTTAGCATGAAGCCCATTTGAGCGCGTTTCTAACATTTGCAAACAAAAATCCTGACTTAACAGATCCCATCTGTAAATGGGATCAAAACATTCTAACCTCAAACAACCTCAGAGCTCTGTTTTTAGGAATAAATGACTCTTTGCATATAGTGGATTGTGCTCAATAGATGACGGCTGTTACTAGCTGCTGTTAAGACCATGAAGGGGACCTGTGACCGGCATCACTGTTGCGTTTGTGTCCAGTCTCCGTCCCTTGTGTGGGGAGGTGGCAGGGAGGGGTGCCACACACCTGCTTGGGGGGCTTGTGCCGATTATACTCCTCTCCCCAGAGCTTGGCCTCCATCTGTAGACGCACATCCTCAAAGTACACGTCCCTGTCCACGGACTCGATGTAGCGCTTTGCCACATAGTTGGAGGCCCCCTTCCACTGCTGAGTGTGCAGGAAGTTGGAGAGCTTCTTCCTGGCGGGGGGGGGGGGGTAGATAGCAGAGGGCCTGCCTGGGCACTTGGGTCCACCAGGAACCCATCCTGACCCACTGCATCCTTCAAAAAGCTGGGAAGAGGCTTAAGGGACACTGTTAAAGGTCTCTTATCCCACATCTTTTGGCCTCCAAACACCAGAGTGGAGGTTAGTGGGATGTTCCATGTTCTCCCTGAGCCCATCCCTGCAGCCAGGGCAAACGTGTGGTCTGATGGAGCCCAAACAGAGAGATGCTTGGCCCACAAGAAGCAGAGGCTGCTGTCTCGGTTTCTCGGCCAGAAATGTTGCAATGCCCCCGCTCTTAGGAGCCCCAGGGAGTCTGGGCAGGGCCCCTGAGAGCCAGGCTGAGTCACTTACGTCCTGAAGCACTCCCTCATCGCTCCACGGCCGAAGGGCTGAAAGACACCATAGAGAGGGTCATCAGGCCCCATGCCCCACCCAGAAGCAGTCCTGAGTCAGGAAGAGATTCTCCCCTTGGACATCACTCACCAAATGGGTGCCTGGACCTCATCTCAATCCTAAAATTCCTGAGCCCTCCCTCTGTCACCCCAGCACTAAATCCTGACCGAACTTCTAGCCTTGGAGGCTTCAGGATGACAAGACCACCCTCCCCCAACCCTGGCTGAGGAGAAGAACCCCAAGGGGGTGGAGATGTTATGGGGGTAACCATGCACGTCAAAGAATGTTTTTGCAGCCCTGCTTTTCTGTTTCCTATAATAGAAAAAGAGTGGAGGGGAGCCTGGGTGGCTCAGTCACTTAAGCAGCCGACTCTTGATTTCAGCTCAGGCCACGGTCTCAGGGTTGTGGGATCGAGCCCCGTGTCTGGCTCCACACTCAGCAGAGTCTGCTTGTCCCTCTCCCACTGTCCCTCCCCACCCCTCTCTCTCCAGTAAATAAATAAAATCTTAAAAAGAAAAGAAAAGAAAAAGAGTGGAAACAGCCTATATGTCCATCAGCGGTATAATGGATAAATCAATCAGGTCTACTCACTCAATGGGATACTATACAGCAACGAGAATAAATATATTCTGTTGTTCTATTATTCTATATTATTCTATATATTACAGGGCTAGCAAAACCAAGGACAAACGTCACAGACAAAATGCTGAGCAGAAAAAAAACAATACTCAAAAGCATACATATGGCACGGCTCCATTTATAGGGAGAACACAAATAGATTAACTACTCCCAGATGATAGATCCCGGGTTGGGGCTTACCCTTGGGGGAACGGAGCAGTGACCAGGCAGGGGAGGGGGGGCTTCAGGGGGCCACTGGTTATACGGAGAGTTCACTTTGTGAAACTCATCAAGCCATACCCTTTTCTGAGGGTGTGATACATGAAAAAAAAAAAGTTTCGCACAACCAACCTCCCTCTGACAATGCAGGAAGTGCTCCATTTTCTAGTCTATTCCTTCCCCCCCCCCGCAAAAGGATGATTGTGGGCCACTGAATCCCTCTTATGGCTCAGGTTTAGGTGGTGACCTGCAATTTTTAAAAACCAATATACACATTTATAGTTAACTGATTTTTGACAAGAGTGCCAAGGATCATCTTTTGATGTATGATAAATATATAAAATGTCCAGAATAGGTAAGCCCTCAGAGACAAGGGGTAAATTAGTGGTTGTCTAGGGCTGGGGGAGACGAGGAGATTGGAGGTTGGCTGCTGGTGGGTAAGTATGGGGTTTCTTTTGGAGATGGTGAAATGTTCTGGAATCAATCATGGTGATGGTTGCACAACTCTGTGACTATACCAAAAACCACCAAACCCATACGCTTCAAACGGGTATGTTGTATGGTGTATGAATCACATCTCAATAAAGCTAGGGCGCCTGGGTGGCTCAGTCGGTTGAGCCTCTGTCTTCGGCTCAGGTCATGATCCCAGGATCCTGGGATCGAGTCCCGCACTGGGCTCCCTGCTCAGCGGGGTGTCTGCTTCTCCCTCCGTCCCTCCCCCCTGCTTGTGATCTCTCTCTCTCTCATGCTTTCTCTCTCTCAAATTAAAAAAAAAACAAAAAAAAACCATTGGGGCGCCTGGGTGGCTCATTCGGTTAAGCGTCTGCCTTCGGCTCAGGTCATGATCCCAGGGTCCTGGGATGGAGCCCCGCATCAGGCTCTCTGCTCAGCAGGGAGCCTGGTTCTCCCTCTCTCTCTGCCTGCTGCCCTGCCTACTTGTGCTCGCTCTCTATCTCTCTGTCAAATAAATAAAATCTTTAAAAAAAAAAAAGAAAATAAAAATAAATAAAAAAAACTATTATAAAAAATAAAATAAATACACAATAATATAAATATAATGCCCCAAAGTTAAAACAATTGAGTGTGAAGGGGAGGGAACTGGAACAGAAGTCTGCTCAAGAAGAATCTGCACTCAGCCCTGTCCCCACAGGGCTGTGGATGGCTCACCTGAGATGCCATCTTGATCAGAACTTCATCTTTCAGCCACTCCCCGGTGACAGCATTGTACCTGCAGAGAGAAGCCACCCCAAGGCACAGCATCTGTAACATCACCCTCTTACCCAGTGGCTAAAAGTGGAAGCCTTTTCCTGGCTTCCTGGCTGCCCTTGGGATCAAGACCACTTTACCCACAGGCCCAGCTGACCTCCTGGGTTGGGTCTGTGGATACTCTCCCTCCCCTCCCAGGCCCCCCCCACACACACTGACCTCCTTCCCTTTCCTCTCCAGTGTGTTGCCCAGCACTTGTGCTGTGGGTGGGCTTGTTCCCCATCTGCCCCCCCTTCCCCACGCCACTGGACTCTAACTCCACAAATCAGGCCCGTGTCTGTCTTCTTCACCACATGCCTAGTGTATGTGGAAGCTTAATACACGCATGTCGGATGAACGACTGAATAAATAAATATCCTTATTTTAACCAGTCTTCACAACAAACGGCGTGTCCCAGGACAGGAGACGGCAGTGCCCTCGATCTTGCCGGGCACTTGTGTGAGGCCCAGCACAAGTAGCTGGGCTTGTGTCCTGGTGCAGGAAAGGGTAGGGGAGGCCCTGCCTCTGAGTCCAGCCGAGGAAGGGGCTGCTGGAGGACACCCAAGGTAGAGTGAGACAGAGAAGGTTCTAGAACATTTCCATCTGTCCTTTCTTAGGAATCTTCCCAGAGCAAATCTGGCCCTAGACCTGGCTGGGCCTCAAACAGATTTGCCTGGTAGAGAGAGCTCTTCAGCTCAGTAAATCCCTAAATTCTAAAACCTCCCCTAGGGCTGAGGTGTTCTTAGTGTTAGCAGAGGCCTCCATGGCCCACCCTTTGGCAGGATGGACTCCAGACTGCTCCCAGCTCGGTGAGAACAGGCTTCTCAGAGCCTGAAACATCTATGGGGAAACACAAGCAGAGGCCTAGCAGGTAACCTCCCCCAGGCCGGGGGCAGGGATGCTGGCCAGAGCTGCAACTTGCCCGCAACCAGCCCATAACAATTCTGGGGTTCAATATATAACAGCAACGATTATTACTATTATTACTATGTAGAGACCAAGGTAAAGGAAAACAGTCTACCCTCACTTCCAAATAAGACTGAAAGCTGAAAGGCACCTAGAGGTCGAGGGACAGGGGAGATACGAGACATCAGATGGATCTTATTTGTCCTTCACAACCGCTGACCCCATACAGGTCAGAGTTGCTCCAAGTCACTGCACCTTCACTATCTGCAGGCCATTTAAACAGATCTCTTCAACTGAACTTTGCAGCAGCACTGGGAGATTGGTACAGTTACGGTGCCCACTTTCCAGCTGAGGACACTGAGGCTCAGAGAGGTAACTTGCCTGAGAGCCAGGATGCAGACCCAGGTCAGCTGCAACCAGAGCCTTGCTCCTAGCCAGCCTGGGTACCATCCATGTGAATGGGAAATCTGTCTCAACAAAGAGGCGGCCTGCACCACCAAAAATGAGGAGGAAGACTTCCAGTTTAGAAATTTTCTGGCGATTCTAGCCATCGAAGCCTGAGCTCCCTCTGCCAGCAGCCGCTTCAGTTGGCACATTGTTTGGCTTGGTCCCTGGACCCCACAGAGCTCCAGGACACACAGAGGCGGCTCAGCATGGGGGGGGGGATCTGCTTTCCCAGGGGCCTCCCTGGGTCGCCTAGTGTCCTCAGCCTGCAGGCCATGTGTCACCAACCAGTCACCACGCTGGCCTTATAGGCAGGGAGAAAGAGAGTCCATACTCTGCCCTATAAGGGGTCCCCTTAGCTGCCAGCACGGCCCCCAGGGCCTGCTAGGATGTGGGCGTCCAGCAGTGGGGAGGGGGTGCATGCCAGGCCCTCAGCCATTTCCTCACAGGCAGGAGCAGGGACATGTTGCAGAAAGGTGTAGAAAGCTACACCGTTTCTGCCTGCCTAGCATCTGGTCCCTCTTCTTTCAGTAACAGCACCCCAATTTCCCTTTGGGGAACCACCATGCTCCATTTGCAGAATATGTGGACTGGGTGGAAGTGATCCCCAGCACCTTCTGGCTTGGGGTATGTGATCCAGACATGGCCAATCAAAGCAAAGCTCCCTGGCACCTGACAGGTTCAGAGAGGGGCATATGACCAAAGCCAGACCAATGATATTCCATTATGGAACTTTTGTTTAAAACTATTTGAGAAGGGAAAGACCCTCTTCTATTGGGTGAAATGAAATGTGGGGCTCTCAGGGGCATCTGTGCCACTGATACAAGAGAGTCTAATCTGAGGTCAAAGCCCAAAGTGTCCTTGGAGCATCTAGAACCAGCTGTACCTGAAGCCCACATGTGTAAGCGAAACATTCCCTTCTATGCTTAACACTGTGAAGTGGGTTTCTGTCACCTGCCTTTGAAACAGAGTTCTGACTAATTGAAAGACACTGCACTGAGTCAGAAAGTTAGCTTATTAACTACCCGGGTAACCCTGGGCAAACCTCTATCTCCCCTGGGGCAATTATGGGACCTCAGAGTGTTGGCTTAGAGCATTCAGACTGGAGGGGTCTACAGAGGTCACAGGACAGGGGGATGGACTCCAGGATAGGTCCAAGAGCCCTCTAATATTATGCACAAAATTAGACATATGTGTGCAACTTTCTGGGATGGCTCTCATCAGATTCTCAAGAGTGGCCCCAAATACTTGACATGATTCCTACTTCAGGCTTTTTTAATGAATACACACACATAGAGGCTTCGAATAGTGCCTGTCACATGGATTCAATACATAAGAGCTTCATCATAGTTATCCTTGGTGGTGGTATTCTGTGGTTTTTGCTGTATTTTCGTTCATCTTGAAACCCCCTGAAATAACGCCTCTCCATCTTTTCAAATAGGAAATCTAGATGCTCATAGTTCCATTTTGTGAATCTTCCCAGGGCCAAGGCATCAAAAAGCTCACATGCTATCTCCAGGTGTTCTCTCTCCCTTTGGTGGCAACTGTACGGGCTATATGATGAGACAGTGGAACCACAGATGGGGGAAGCCTGGATCCCTGAGTGGCCCCCAAGGGTCCCTGGGCTCTCACCCAACTTCACTCAAGTGAGAAGTACACCACTGCTACACTGAGCCGCTGGAGTATTTGTTACTGCAGCATGGCTCAGCCCTGCCTGACAAAAGAGGTATGTCAGAGGACCACCCTGAGGAATCAAGGAGATCTTGCGCAGCACCTGAAGCATGCACAGATGCTCAAATATTGGCAGATACTATTATTATTCCCTTCTCCTTGACCTCCACGTGTACTTCGGCCTCACTGATTACAAGCAGAAGCAGGACCCATACCCCCAAGGACTCCTTGAGACCTGGGGCCATACGGCACCCCCAGACAAGCTGCCGACCTGTGACGCATGGCACATTCTGTGGCAATATCCTCCAGATGGAACTCAGCCCAGGGGTCAGGCATGTGTTTGGCCTTCTCGATGGCATGCTTCCAAGCTTCCTGCAAAAGGCAAAGGGAAATGTTAGACCAGGGCCTGTGGGATAGTGCTGCCCCAGCCACCTCCTGCCCCGTGATTTCCCACGTGTCTCCCAGCTCTGGGGAGGCAGACAACATCAGTGACAGAGAAATACTCCCACTAATTATCGTTTCAGAAACAAAGTTTCCAAAAGACCCTCTCACATGGGCACAGCCTTCCCATGGGCAGAAGTGACATATCTTAACTATGAAACCAAAGAAACATAATACACATAGGAAAGCATATTTTAAAGATTCATTTATTTTGTGGAGGTTGGGGCAGAGGGAGAGGGAGAGAATCTCAAGCAGACTCCCAGCTCTGTAGGGGAGCCCAACTCCTGGCTCCATCCCAGAACCCTGAGATCATGACCCGTGCTGAAATCAAGAGTTGGATGCTTAACCGACTGAGGCACCCGGGCGCCCCCAGACTGGCGAACATTTTAATGACTGTTCATAACTAGTGCTGGCTGGGATATGGGGAAACGGGTGCTATCCCATAGGTCAATGGGTCTAAACCTCCTCCAAAGGCAACCTGGCAATGTACTGAGATAAAAAATGTGAATTCCTGTATTCTGACCCAGAAATTTTACATCTAGAAACGTATCCTAGAGAAATACACAAATCTGCAAACATATATATAGAAGAAGCATCGTTGTGTGCAAAACTGAATTCCACCCAAATGCCCATCTGTGGGGATCGGTTGAATATATTCTGATTATATCCATTTAAAATGCGAAGGAGCCCTTCCAAAAGACTGCGCTTACTCTATTAGTGGGAATTCTGGACCCTATCTGAGCCAACATCACCTTTTTGTAAATATTGTATAAATCATAAATATGCCCAATTTTATCGCCCTAAGAGAAAATCATAGACAACACAACCTTCCTAAACTCAGAATATCTCCAACCCCGCCAAAGATAGTGTTGTCTTTACATTAACAGAGCACTAAGTTCTGGGCTCAGATGATTAGGAACAGATTCCCATGAGACATTCCAAGGTCCTGGGGACGCAGGAATATTCATCGTGCAGAACTGCCTTGCCCATTTCAGGCTTTTAGCATCCATGCCCTCTACCTTCTCAATGCCTTAGTGCTCCTGTATCATTGTGGGGACCAAAAACAGCCCCCCAAACTTTCAAAACCTATTGAGAACCAGGGCTTTTGGGTACTCATTGGGAAAGATGACCAAGGCATGTTACAGAGATTAGGCTGATTCTCAATCACCCAGCCCCAATTCTTGTTTTAAAAAGCTCATTTTATTGCTTTTATAATCCCAAGGTGGAATCTGTCCCTCTTCCCTCCCCACACTCCACCCACACTGGGTCGCAATCTCTTCCTGCTCTTTTCCTAAAGAACTCGAACCTCTGCCCTGATCTTGCAGGATCAGTGAGGCCAAAACTCCTTTCCAGGCCAGAGGCCTGAGCCACGGGGAGGTGGCTGGATGGGGGTGCTGAACACTGGGGGTGGCAGACCCACAGCAATTCCAGACTCCTCACCCGCCATCGGGATCCCTCAGCCACCAGGACTAGCTCTGCAGGAGCCAAGCTTCCCAAGCGTGCCCCCGGCCTGAGCCTCAGCCTCACGGCTGGGATCCTGCTCAGAGGAGAAAAAGGTAGAGCAACTGAGCTTTCTGAGAAACACACGCGCACACACGGTTCACACGGGCTAGGGCTTCCTCACTGGGGCTTGGATTCCAATCTCTGCGAAGCCCAAAAATAAAGCCCAGAATTTCTTTCTTCCAATGTGGAAGTGAATTCATGCTTAATGAAAACATTCAGAAAAGAGAGAAGACAAAATTCAAATCTGCCACACACCCCCCACCCAGAGCAAGGATCGTCAATGCTTTGGACTTGTTCTTTTCCAGATCCTTGCTTTGCATTATTTGTACCACTGGAATCACATTATAAAAACAATTTACAGTGCTTTGGGAGAGTGGGCCCATGGGGCTTTAAATATAGTGATCTTGATTATTTTCCTGATTCCAAATGTATGATCTGCTTACTGTAAAAAACAGCGTACACTACAGAATGTGAAAGTGAAAGTACTTTCTGACTCCTTGCTCTGAAAACCACAGCTGACACAGGACTACAGCATCAGGCCAGAGCCCTCACATTCTGCTCTGCACCTTACTTTTCTCCACTTAACACGGGGCCTTGGATGTCCTTCCATGTCGTATGTACAGGCAGGCTGGGTTGACCCCATTTTCCTTCTGCAGTTGTAAGACGTACAATTGTATAAATGTACCTTAAGGTATTTCTCTAACCTCAGTTGATGGATATTTGGATTCTCTCCAATAATCCCTAGTACAGGCAGTCCTGAAGTGAACACCCTTGTATGTAAACCCTTATGCAACTGTGCAAGATCTTGGTAGGACATATTTCTTAGAAGTGTAATCGCTGGATCACATTTAAAATGTACAAATTTGGAGTGCTCCTCCAAAAAATTTCTCCTAAATGACACTCCAAGAGGCAGAGAACACATGACTTAAATATTTTTTTATTTTAGTTTTTTTAAAGATTTATTTCTTTGAGAGAGAGCTCGCTCGCTTGCATGCACAAGGCGGGGGGAGGGGCAGAGGGAGAGAATCTTCAAGCAGACTCCCCACTAAGTGGAGTCCCAACACGCGGCTGGATCCCACGACCCAACAGATCATGACCTGAGCCAAAACCAAGAGTCCGACGCTCAACCGACTGAGCCACCCAGGTGCCCTCCTCACTTACATTTTTAAACACAAACATGACATCATGATTTACAAGTCAGCTGGAATAGCTAACTCACTACTGACGTCACCGTTCACCTGTGGTTCTCCACCGTTAGACTTTGAGCTTGTCACCGATTTTTCCCTGTTATAAATAACCAGGCCACCGACATATTTACAACTGAAACAGTTCCTGAAGCTCTGTACTTAAAAAAAAAAAAGTACCACTATCTCCTCTCCTATTGCAGCAGCTGTGAACAGCAGAGACAGACTCTGACCCCAGCCTGTCCAGGGACCTGCAGTGTTCTGAGCCTGCCCGGGGCGACGGACACGTGGCTCTCCCACTGCACTCTCAACCAGTGACTCAAACGCTCCCCGACTCCCCCCCCCCCATTCAGTGAGGAGTATCAACAGAAACTGCCTCCTGGCTGGAGGCTGTGCTCCACCTGAAAAAAAAATCAAGGAAAAAAGTATTTCCGAATTTGAGGGCGTGTTATTTCACAGGATCAAAATTAACTTTTTGCCAAACCCAGAAAAGAATCGTGCCATGCCTTGTTGGCAATGGATGGGTTTAATGCAACAGACTTATCTTTTAAAGCACAATATAAAAGATCCTGGATGAAGATTCGTTCCCTGCACTCTGGTTCCTGCCCACAGCTGACTAACTGTGCGAACCTCCATTTCCTTGTTTACAAAAGGCAGTGAAGAATGTTTTGACTATTAGTGGCCAAACTTTTTTCCTGTCCCCACACCTGGGCTAGACGCGTTTTCTCCCCCGCCCCCCAAGAAATAGGGGCTCACTGAGATGACATGCTCATTACAGTTCAACAGCCCTGAAATGAGCTGCAAATCACTGGTGTACTGTTTTACCCATCAGGTTAAGAAAAACAGGTGTTTATGCAGGCCTGAGAAGTATGGTGACTAACATAACCTAATAAAATAAAATTAAAAAAAAATGTATAAAAGAAAGAAAAAAGAAGTGGGTCCTCTCAGACACTGAGGGGAGGGAAAGCAGGTTCTATCACCTCTGACAGCCTTCTGGAGGTACTTTCACTGCCTTGTGACCCAGCCATCCTGATCACCTCCCCAGGTGTGCACAGGTGAGCAGCCCAAGGATGGGTCTGTGCTTATAATGCTATACAATGCTCGGGTACTGCCAAAAACCTGCCTGTTCACAGGGAGAAGATTCTATACACTTGGTATAGCAGTATGAAGCCATTAAGAAGATCAAGGTTTGGGGCGCCTGGGTGGCTCAGCTGGTTAAATGTCCAACTCTTGGTTTCAGCTTGGGTCATGATCTCAGGATCATGGGATGGAGCCCTGCATCAGGCTCGGTGCTCGACGTGGGGTCTGCTTGGGATTCTCGGCCTCTCCCTTTGCCCCTCCCCCCACTTGCGTGCTCTCTCTCTCTAAGATAAATAAGTAATATCTTTAAAAAAAATAGATCAAGGAGAAGTGTGTTCGAGACACCTGGTGGCTCAGTCAGTTAAGCATCTGACTTCTTGATATCAGCTCAGGTCTCGATCTCAGGACTGTGAGTTCAAGCCCCACATCGGGCTCCATGCTTGGATTGGAGCCTACTTGAAAAAATCAAGGTGTTGGGCGCCTGGGTGGCTCAGTTGGTTAAGCGACTGCCTTCGGCTCAGGTCGTGATCCTGGAGTCCTGGGATCGAGTCCCGCATCGGGCTCCCTGCTCGGCAGGGAGTCTGCTTCTCCCTCTGACCCTCTTCCCTCTCGTGCTCTCTATCTCTCATTCTCTCTCTCTCAAATAAATAAATAAAATCTTTAAAAAAAGAAAAAAAGAAAAAATCAAGGTGTTGGGCCACTGGCTGGCTCAGTCGGAAAAGCACGTGATTCTTGATCTTGGAGGTTGTGAATTCAAGCCCCACATTGGGTATAGAGATTACTAAAATAAATAAATAAATAAGATCAAGGTATTGAATGGGCAATCTCTAAGACTTATTGTTGAGAGGGAAAAAGGAAGTTGGTGAATAATGTAAACGGTATGACACCATTTACTGGTGGAGGAAACCCACAGATCGGCACTATGGATTTCTAAGGATGAGTGTGTCTATACAAATACACGTAAGTGTGTCTTTACATATGAGTACGTGCAAGAGGTCTGAAAAGTGCTTTATCCCAAATTAATATAAAATGGGGATCTCTGGGAACGGAAGGAGGGTAAGAGGTTGGTCAGAGAGACTTCAGCTTTCTGTTGTGTGTGTGTTTTTATTATGAGAAGGTTAACATACTGAATAGCCTTCAGGTAATACACGGGTAAGTCAAAGT